AATCGCCGATGCGTTGGCGATGCGTTAGCGATGCGGCGCGGTCCTCCGACCCCATCTACTCGGACCCCATCTAGGACGCCTCTAGCTCCTCATCCCCCCGATGGCGACCGCTCCAAGGAGAAGCAGAAGAGCGCCAAGGACTTCGCCTTGGAGGGCAAGAAGGCGCCCGCTTCGGCCAGCCAGCCTGGGGTCTCCCAGTACCGTTCCTCCTCCCCCTTTCCCTTCATCGCCCCTCCAAAACACTGCTCTCCAAAATGGTATTGCCGTGGCAGCGTGGGCCTCATTTTAGGATCGGCGCTATGCTGCCGCCGTTCAGAATGGCACTCTCTCCCCAGCGCGGGCCACTTTTCTGGATCCGAGTCCTTCCTCATCATTGCCGCCCTCCTCCCTTCCCCTCCTCCGCCTTCCTCTGGTCCGCCTGTCCACTCGGCGGACGGAGACTCGACGCCACCGCCATCATCCAGACGGGCCCCACCCCCTGGCGGAGAAGGGATCACAGGGAAGGGGCTTCCCTTCGATTCAACTACGACGTTGCTCAATTTCGCTTTGGCTGGCGCGCTTGAGGAGGCGGGCCCAGGGAAAGGGTGGGAGCGGCGACGGCGACGGCGACGGCGACGGCGACGGCGACGGCGACGGCGACGGCGGTGACGACGACGACGACGACGACGACGGCGACGACGACGACGACATCGAACGGAAGAACGCCTTCCACACGCCGACAGGTTCGGCGGATTTCCGTATGTGTTCCTTGGCCCCCCAATCGTCCGCGCACACGCCTTGGACCATGATGTGCTGACACTCCTTCTCCTGGCCCCCCCTTCGGCGCACCCGAGCCAACACCAGGAACCGTTCCCAGGAACCCGGTCGCCTGCAGTACGCTCGACTCAGGGGTCGAAGCCCACGCCTTGAGGTTTCGGATCCTTTGGTTTCTGGTGGTGGAGTGGGAGGAGGAGAAGGAGGAGGGTGCGGGGGAAGATGATAGGGGGAGGAGGATGATAGGGAGGAGGAGGATGATAGGGAGGAGGCGGAGGCGGCGGATAAGGAGGAGGAGGAGAAGGAGGAGGAGGAGGAGGAGGAGGAGGAGGTGCCTCTGTTCTCCTGCAGGTCGAGGTGCTGGCGCCCTCCCAGAAGTGGCGGGAGGCGCCGCCCCGCCTGCCGCTCTGCCCCCCCCCGGCCGGCCTCAGGGGAGCGCCCAGGGTCTCGGGGGATGGGCGCTGTGAGTCAGCATCGTTTAACCGACCCCCATCCCCATCCTCATCCCCTTCGAGACCCCCACCAAATTACCACCCCAGTTGGGGATACACCCCTCGAAACCCGAAAGGACAGGTCTATATCCCAATCTAGGGGGGGTAAATCGGCCAGTGGGGCTCAGGCCACGCCGCTGGGGATGGGGGTCGGAGAAACGATGCTCAGTGAGCAGAAACGCGACGCGGTCGGGGTCTCGGGGGATCGGCGCTGTGAACGCACACTGCATCGGGGATTCGGGAACGGGTCGTCGTGGACCGTGGACGCTGGGTGGAAGGGGAGTGGGGGGTGGCGAGGCGACGGCTGGGATCTCTGGGGAGCGGTCGGGGTCTCGGGGGATCGGCGCTGTGAACGCACACGGCATGGGGGATGCCGGAACGGGTCGTCGTGGACGCCGGATGGACTCGCCCCTCAGGAGTCGGGGGCGCGTGGTGCACCGTCACAGGGCCTCTGCAGGCGCCTCTCTTTGCCAGGCTCTCCCCGGCCGAGCGGGCGTCGATGCGCATCCGGTGCCCAGGCCTGCCTCTGACTCTGCGAGGAGCCGACGGCGGCGCGCACTTTCAGTCGCGATCCCCTCCGCCGTCCACCCGTCGGCGGCGAGCCCAGGGGGGAAGTCAGAGGGGGCGGGCCTTCTCAGCAGGCTCGTAAGGCCTGGGGCCTCCGGGGAGGCTTCCGAGCCTTCGCCGAAGGCGGAGGCGGCTTCTCAGAGGGCCGGAGGGCTTCTGGGAAGCCCCGCCCCCTTCCGAGAGGGCCTGCGCCCTCTCCTGTCCCCCCCTGGGCGCGCCGCGGAACCCTCTCCTCCCCCCTCTCTCTCTCCTTCCCGGCCTCCCCTTCTCTCACCCTTCTTCCCCGCCCTCCCCCCCTCTCTCTCCTCCCGCGCCGCCCCTGCCTCCCCCCCCCGCCCGCGCGCGCTCCCCGGCACAGAGCAGAGGGGGTGGGGGGGCGGGGAGGACCTGGGCCTCCCAGATGGGGTCCGAGTAGATGGGGTCGGAGGATCGCCTTATTACGGCGATGCATCGACGATGCTGCTCGGTGTTTCTCCACGCCGGTGGCGCCAATGCATCGCCGACGTCGCCGATGCGTCGTCGACGCGTCGGCGATGCTGCCCGATCCTCCGACCCCATCTACTCGGACGCCATCTGGGAGGCCTCGAGAGCAGAAAGAAGAGTGAGCCCGCCTTCTCGTCCTCGCTCCCCCAACGGCCAGGCGACGGTGGTGAGGAGGCTGCAGAATGGCGTCCAGGTACACTACGAGGGCCCCGGGGGGGTGGGCTGCCGTGGCCGGGCGGGGCGGATGCTGGGAGGCGCTTGTGGCTCGAGGGGGGGGGGCCTTGGAGGGTTTCTCCGGAGGGCTTAGGCGACCCGTCCTCCTCCTCCTCCTCCTCCTCCTCCTCTCTTCTCCTCCTCCTCGTCCATCTCCTCCTCCTCCTCGTCCATCTCTTCCTCCTCCTCCTCCTCCTCCTCCTCCTCGTGTCGCCTACGGCCCCTGGGGAAACCGTGCAGGGACGAGGGGGGAGAGGATGAGGAGGGGAGAGGATCGGATCGGATCGACTCGGAGGGAGGAAGCGTCGTGCTCCGCAGCGCCGTCTGGGCCCCCCCCCTCCGGAGGGCGGCAAGTGTGGAGCTGGAGGCTCAAACACAGCTTGGCAGTACTGTAGAGGCCTCCAGCCTGTGCCGCCGATCCAGGACGCTCTGGGGCGCCCCGTGCGAACTCGCTGTGATTATTAGTTTGTAAGCTTTACCTCAAGGAAGCAGGAGGGAGGGAGGGACGGAGGGAGGGAGTGAGGGAGGGAGGAGGAGGAAGAGGAGGAGGAGGAGGAGGAGGAGGAGGAGGAGATGGACGAGGAGGAGGAGGAGCAGGAGGAGGAGGAGGAGGAGGAGGAGGAGGAGGAGGAGGAGGAGGAAGCCTCGGGCCCAGACACCCGTGGCAGGGCGCCAGCCCTAGGGGGCCAACCACGATTGAAAAAAAACGCTCTTTCAATTTCCCATTACATCCTGATGCATTCCTCCATCGTCTCTGTACAACCTGTTTTCCTTCACACCTGTTACATCTTGATTTCGTTTTCTCATTCCTGCGTTATGCTGCACCACCCTGTGCTACCACATACGGCAGCAAACGCCACCTCGGCTACGATATCTACCTCGTGCGCCCACACAAATAGCTCCACTTACGTGGCTCTTTTTGCCTAGCGACTGCAGTATTCTGCAAGAAGTAGCACCACGACTCCGTCGACTTCTCTCAACCCTGCCGGGCAGCGCAGAGAAAGAGATAAGCGAGCCGTGGCACGCACACTACCACGGGTAGCGTCAGCGCGAACCCTATTCGACCAATCAACCTACTAGCAGCCGGTTGCATTACATGCCGTATTATTAATCAGGTTCGTATACGCCGACACCATGTACACATTGTCATTGTACATCATGTACACATGGTCATCACATACAGTATACGGGGTACATCATACTGATACACGAAGTGATCTGTGCTTTCGATGTAAGACAGCTTGCAGTACTTTGTCGTTCTTGGTTCTTTCGTAAAGGCAAACGGTGTTTTTCATTTCGTGCCAGGTGCAATTGTCACAGACATTGGCTTGGATTCATGGTCTACGTGCACCATACGACGCAGCGCACGACGCAACACTCCACGCAATCCAGCCTAGCAGCCTAGCATGACTCACGAATTCAATCATACACGACCTCTGCCCGCTTCCTGCTTGGAATGGGAGCTTTGCCAGGCATACCTCAGAGAGTAGCAATCGGGCTACAACGCCAAAAATACCTACCAAGTTTGATACACCACCTACCGCCACCCACCGCCTCATACCTGGCAAGGGGGCCCCAGGGTGCAAACCCCAGGGAGAAGCGACAAAGACGACCACACACCACCAACCATGGAGCACAAGACAGGGGTCACTCTGCCTGCCCGCTCCATATCTGGCAAGGGAGCCCGACTAGGGCATACCTCAGGGAGAAGCAAATTGGTGGGGCACCGTACAGCGAAAAGACATCGATATATATATACTTCCAGGCCATGATCGCATTCTTCACAGTGATATGACAAGCCCATATACTATGATAGTCATATGGGGTGCATTCAGAGGATTCCAGTCAGGCCCGTAATAAAAAGGCTATCGCCTACCAGCTTACCACAGGCTACACCATATATGACATGATACACGGCATCTCGCGTAGCCACCCTACATATTTGTTCGGATTTGTTTTATTCTGTAGTGAGAACCAAGGAAGTTCTCTTTCACGTGTTACAATCCAAAAAACATTATTCAAGGCTTCCCTGTTCCGACTGCACGGGCATTGACTGATCCAGGAGAATGTACACATTAAGGGCCATTGCCAAATCCGACCTCTTCATGCTTGGCCAGGGAGTCCGCAGAGGCAGACTTCAGGGTGAGGTGCAAAGGACGAACATCAATTACCTCGCATCTTCCACAACGACCGTGCAGACTCCCAGGATTTGACGATGATGACAGATTAGGCGCGCATTCAGAGCTACTACGACCACGACTGTGTTGAACACCACCCGACGACGTATTTTGGGCTTAGGTGTAAGCGGCTACGGCCTGCCTTATGCCTGGCAAGGGATCCCCACAGGGCATGCCTCAGGGAGAGGCAACAAAGGCAGCCAACAAAGGTCCATACCGCCCGCCTCATCCTGGCAGGGCAGCCCACAGGGGCATGCCTCATGGAGAGGCCAGATCTGCGTACAACCTACTATGGCAATACAGTTCAGCCCTTTTACACTACATACAGCCCGTCTCATGCCCGATATGGGAGCCTATAGGGCATGCCTCAGGGAGAAGCGGCATGGGCATTTTCACTTCATGGCAGCCTGCAACAATTAGCCACCACAGATGCCACATCGATCGAACGCTTACTGTCTACAAGGCATCGACCTCATCATCACCTCACAAAGTACTAGCAGTTTGCAATTCAACGTTACGTACAACGCGGCATCACCAAGACGCAGCAAGCTAGGCTCAAGCCAAGCGATAGGTGAACTTGCGCCTCAATCAGGTGCCTTTCAGATTGCACTTGTCATTCAGAATGTCATACTACATATCCCCTTCAGTGCCACAGCAGATGACGCCTTTGCCGTGCATGCAACAGAGCGGTCACAGTCACCACGCTTTGTCTTCGCACCTGCTATGGCGATTTATATGACTTACAGTAAGAAGGGCGACGACCAAATTATTAGATATCGGGCGCACATATTTGAGCAGCAATACTGGGCACTTCCAACCGCTACGAGGATGACGGTAGCGACGACCTTGCACCAGTTGCCACAAGCAAACATAGGACACCCATCTGCGAGTCGCTAGAACGAACATCAACTCCAGACATACACGACCCCATCACAGAAACCACGCCCAGAGCACAAGCACGGAGGAGCAAACAGGACGTTAACCTCGACCAGTTTTTCGTGTACATATCGCTACATCTCGAGCGTGAGTTCATGCTAGGCCCTACCTGGCGAGGATGGGCGTGCGTGCGCTGCTCACGATGGCCACATCACAGTGGCCTGCTTGCCATGCGTTGATCAGACATGCGTCCAGCTGCTGAAGGCCCGACTGGTATACGTATTACAGCAGTGGAGGGACATGCGTTCCCGCGCTGGCATCTACAGTCTTTGGACAGAGAGGCCTCGCGCAAGTCCGTCTTATCGACGCGCCGACTACCGACGAGACGGACAGCCTTCCGTACATGACGACATTTTTCGACCACGGCATGCGCCGAAAAGGCGTCGCCGACCCGACCATGGGACATAGCTCGCGACGACGTCGGCTGCGGAGAGGCACGTCTGAGGCAACCTCGCCACTGTGCAACATATGCTACCAGCGGCACGTGAAGCGACGCGAGTTCTCCATGGGCGAGAACAGTGGGGTACGCGCCAAGTGCTAAACCACCGCGAACAACGCGCTCATCAGCTCTATGACCAACCCCGAGAACAACATCTTCACAGTGTCAGGGCTACTTTCGCTCGCCAACCTACTGGCCGACGTGCTCCATGCATCAGGTGCAGCGACGCTTCGCCCGCCGTGGCCTGCGTCCGTTGACGACGAGTCCAACAGACGCGTCGCGCCACCGACAACCAACGAGCAGCCCGGCTACGTCGCGCAACAGGACGTCGATTACCGCGCCGCGGGCTTGCTCCACGCGTGGACCAGTGCTGTGCGGTAACTTCCGCGAGCGCCGCGGCATCCGCGACTCCCTCCTGCGCGTGAGGAGCTCCTGTCGCCACCGCCTGAACCCAGCCTGCCCGCGCACCACCGTTGGACTAGCGCCTGTGCCAGCGGCGAGCCTGCAGTCGCGCGCGCGTGCGACCCGTGACCAGAAACAGCGACACAATGAAGGTTTCGCCGACAGTGCAAATACTTTATTCACGCTGCGCCAATATCGCATGCATGCCGCCAGGATTCACGCGGAAAATACAGACCGACATTGGCGCCGGCCACTTGTGCTGCGAATGGGTTCAAGAGCAGCTTGAACCAATGGTGCAATGGGGGGACCTAGAATATGATTGCGAAGACAGGCTGCGCAAATGCTGCCCTGGCCATTCGATACCAACCTCGCCGTGGCAATTCATGCCGCAACTGGGTTTCAGACCCACGAGAGATGACCAACAAACAAGACTGCCACCACCACCTACTCGTGCGCCTACACCACTGCCCAAGGCCAAGATGCCAACGCCGATCGCGCCACTAGCTCAACCGCGACAGCCCGCCACCATCCACGACCTTTGGGTTGGCGAAGGCATCGGCGCAGCAATGTATGAAGCGCTGGGCGACTCCGGAGAAGAGGGCAGCCACGCCGACAACGGCGACGACCACGAGTGCACTCCAGCGCCTATATTTCTCGCGCCATTGCCTCCGCGCGAGAGCCGGGGCGCGCGCTGCCCTGCAGGCCAGGCAGCGTGCAGTGCCATAGACAGAAGCGACGAGGGCGACTGCGACCAGGACAGCTGACACCTCTACTACAACGCTGCAATCAAGATGCACCTGCCGCTTTCCGAACGATCACCACCTATGATTACCTGGCTGGCACAGGTACCTTGACGAACGCAACAACGAGTGCTTCATCAGCAACGACCTCCAGCAAACCCCTCCTCGCCCGCCGCTGAGGCCCGATCCGCGTGCCGCCCCGCTCTCTACGAGGAGCGTCGGCGATGCGACGCTCTCGCCGTCCGACCGCTCGGCGAAAGGCCAGGAAAACGCGCGGCGATCGTTGCTCCGACTCGGCC